GAAAGATGATTCAACAGACCTAAAAATTTTACTTATCTATTGAAAGGCAAAACAAGAGGTCTTCAGAAAATATTCACACATGCTTTGGAAGCTCAGTTTATTCCAGATCCAGGCAACCAGGCCAGCACGGAAAAGTATGTCACTCTGTCCAATGCAGGGAGAACTTAGACTAAATAAGCCTTTTCTTTCCTTTGTTCTTTTACCTTTGCCTGATGCGGTGTATAAACCAAAGGTTGGTCTTACCTGCAATCAGAAAGCCTCTTCTAAGCATCAGGCATTTATGTAACATGATCTTGATTCTTTGGCACAGCAAATACAATGGCATAAACATCAGGTTTAGCCAAAAATACCTCTTGCAGCTCCTTTTGTAAAACGCTGCATCATTTGATAATTTGCTCTCTTTTTACTTTGAAAAGTAAGTAGGATTTTACAGAAGTATTAGGATTATCAGCAGACATTTTTGAAATCAGGGCAGTGTCCTGGAAGGGGCTGGATCCAAAAGTAAAACCTTGTGTCCAAATTAAAGAATGAAAAATTGTTCTCTTGACAGAATAAAAAAACCTTTTTCTCAGATTCTGCCTTCTATGTCCAAAGCTTTTGTTAAAACAGATGCTTTCTGCAAAATATGTATTTTTGGGAAAAAAATTAAACTGAATCTTTCCCTGCCTTTTGACAACAGCTCTAATAATATCACCAGGTCCTCTCAAAACAGGATTTTAGCGAAGTGAAACAACTTCACCCACATATTCAAATATGGAGGTACTGGCTTACATCATGACACGCTGTTTCAGGATTAGGTAAAGACAGCATGCATTCAAGTCTACAGGAAAAACATTTAAAAGATTGATTGGACAATCTAATTGCGTGGAACTAATGAAGAAAAGGTAAAAGAAAACCCTAATTTATTTAGGGCATCACATCTATGTTTCAAATCACATTTAAAGGTTTGAATATCACTAATTACTAACCAAAAGGCCCGGGGGACACACCGCACTGCATATTTTTAGCCGGATGCTTCCCTCGTAGGACGATCACACTTAGTAACCGTATATTCTCTCAGAGCTATGCAGTTTGCAAGATGTTAATTCTGGCTGAGAGCATCAAGGCAAAATCCTGGAGGTTAAATACTCGCTGCTCCAGGTCAGCGCGCGCTTACTCCTGGGGCCGTCCCCAGGAGCGGGGCAGCGCCCAGCCCCCGTGGCACAGGC